TTATCGGTTAATATAACAAAATTCCACCGGAAAATTACCAATTCTTAATTTACTGAAAAGGTAAACAAGAGCTATTACAGATTCCTAACCGCGGGAAAGCATTAACATTTTCATGATAAAACTGCAACCCCTCTAATTGCTACCGGTATCGTAGAATCCGTTAGTTTCCGCCATAATTGCTGCTATCAATTTATTTCCCACTACCGCTGGATAATAGAGACAAGCACTCGAAAATGCATTTTCCCGATTTCGCCCGATGAGTAATAAAAATAAAAACTTGTAACTGGCTCAAATAACCACCCCTATTACTAAAAAAACAGCTTGCGCGCTCTCACAGGCGAACGGACAAATGAATATCGCAACGTGAGGTTGTTCCCGAATTAAATAATAACTGCAATTTATCGCGGTGGCGTTTGTTGCTTTTTTTTCGCAATAATCGTTAGCTACATGAGAGTATGAAAATAAAACAAAATGTAGTACAATTATCATGTTCGAAATAGCAAAGAAATCGATGAAGTATGTCAACGTCTTCTTGATACAGGCAGTGTTGTTTCTCGCCATAAAAATCATGGCCCAAACCGACAAACCAGCCTTAAATTTAAAGTTGGCTAGAACGTCATTGTAATTTTCCTAAAAGTAACCGCCTCTCGAGCTTCTGTACGGAATCCATTTCATATTTCACACTGCTAGTGCCTCTAAATATCAGTCTTATTTAATTCACATCCTTCTCCATAACTTGAAACGATAAAACAAAAAAATTGCACTGAACAACATCAACTGTTTATCGTCTATAGATTAATAATAAAATCGATAATCATCAGCTTCCATTACCTAACAAAATAGAAGATTTAATAGCTTTGATTATGGACCGTTATTTGTGTGTATAACAATATAATAGTGTCCAGTAAAATAACGCACTATTTACATTATCGGAAAATATTTTAATATCCGGGAATATACTTCTATTAAATTATATTATTCAGAATTTGTCGTGTGGTCATGTCCAATGCGCGAATGTTTACAAAAAGGCTAATAGATATCATCGTGATATTCACAGAAATTGAATCGTTAAACTACCAATGTGATATGATGGAGCTCATGGAAATTTAAAGTAGAAATGGAATATAAGAGTACGTCGTTAAGGATGCTAAGACAACAAACTTTATCGGAAGGAAAATAGCTGATGTTGATGGAAGAATTTATTTATTTATTCATTTATTTAGAAATTGTTTACGTAACACCCGCGCGCAACTGATACTAGTTTTTGAACAATGTTTTACTGGAAAATAAATACACAGTTAGGGAATACTCAAGGCGGAAGCGGAAGACCAGTATTTTACTTATTTTTTTTTGTATTGAATAGAATAATAAAAATATAATATCATCACATCAATATTTTGTAAAATCAATAAAAGCATTTGATTCCCAATTATTTTTCAAAGGAAAATATGTCCACCATTTTATTCCAAAAAAAAATAATTTTATTATTTAATTATTATTTTCTCTCTAAAAACACACATTATATTATTACATCTCGTATTTTTACAGTATTGTAAAATAAATTATTATTTTTTAATTGTATCAGACGAAGTCGAACAATATCCGTCGATATCAGTAAATCTAGATACAGAAAATATATTTGACCTCATATACACGGTATTACTGGTAAGTTTTGCCAAACTTTAAAGGCATATTCTACCGACGAAAATAATCAACTTTTGCACTAGGTTTTGATTTTTGATAGAAGAAAAAGAGCTGGAAAATGGCCATTTCGCGACTTTTTGTTTCAGCAAGCTGAATTTATCACTATAGATGCTAAATATTATGTACAATAACATATTAGTTTCCACAGTCATAAAAATTGGGGGAAGATTGTTTATAGGGTGGTTAATTTTATAATTTTTACGTAAATTCACGTTTTTCGCTTATAATTTTTTTCCGTTCATTTCCACGAGAAAACACTAATATACTTTTTTTTCGTCTTTAAAAGACCTACAAAACTAGCCCTCGAGCGTCAAAATATATTGATTCAATCAAAAGTTATAAACAGAAGAAGTTGATTTATGACTTTTGAATTAACATTTATAAACCGCGTTATTATTACCAGAACGTTTTGTCATCGCATTCTCTCATTCCTTATCACTGTCTAATAACTCACACGACATCTGGAATCGGTAAATTGAATAGTTTACGCAATTTATAAATGTTTAATTCAAAAGTCATAAATAAATTTCTACAGTTTATAACTTTTGATCTATTAATTATTTTTTGACGAACGAGATCTAGTTTTGTAGGTCTTTTGAAGACGAAAAAAAAATACTTTACTGTTTTCTCGTGGAAATGAACGGAAAAAAGTTATAAGCGAAAAACGTAAATTTACGTAAAAATTATACAATTAACCAGCCTGTAAACAATCTTCCTCCCATTTTTATGACTGTGGAAACTAATATGTTATTGTACACAATATTTACCATCTATAGTGTTAAATTCAGTTTGCCGAAACAAAAAGTCGCGTCTAACTCTATATTTCCTGGCCTACTAAAATAAAAACAAATAAATAGTATTTATCATCAGTTGAATACAAAAAATCACTGGTTGTTCCACAAAAAAATATATATATATTTTTGTGTTGTAATGCAATTTTAAGTGCATACAATGTAATATTTGAAACTTTTTCTTTAAAATACAGTTGGAAATCGCATAAAATTTGCAAAACATTCAGCGGCGTCGAAATTTTGACGTTCTTAATGAAGGTGTGTCTCATAATCAGTACCTCCGCTACTGGTTGCTGTAATTTTCATCTTTGTATATTTAGATTCTGTAGGACTTCTTACAGTTTTTTAAAGATATATTCCGTTATTGATTATTAGTTCTAGTAGTATTTTACTCTTTTTTAGACGTATTAATCTAATTCAAATTATTATTCTATTTTTTTTCTAAAGACTATCAAAAGAAATGTTCTAGCTAGCTTTCTGGTATCGAAGAACATTGATCAGATTTGATAGTCTTGATAGTCTAACATTAAATGATAGTCATTTCGAAAGAGTAATAATTTACTCTACCACATAAATCTGGGTTAATAGGTGAGCGGTTCACTCCTAAAAAGATGCTTCTAAATGAAGGTAACCGATAAAAATTTTAAAACAAAAACTTACAGCATGAAACTTTTTTATTTTAGTGTATTTTTCTTTACATATTTTTTTTTATATTTTTCGGCGTAGATAGTCAATTGTTAAAAACAAAAAAATTTTAAAAAAAATTACTCGCCGAATGGCTTTGAAAGTTCGAGTTTTTCTTTGTAAAATGTACCAAAATAAACACTTTTTGTTCTTTGACAAAAATTCGAAAAATGCTTCGGTTCCGAGATATTTACAATTTAATGTGAAAAAGTGACGAAATCGACAAATTTTTTTCTCAAAAACTAGTTAACAGTGTAATTAAAAAAACATAATAATCGGCAGATCTTCTACTTTTAGATATATTTTTTAGTATTGCATCCGAAATTGATGATGAAACGCTTATTTCAACTCAAGAACTTGTCGAAAATAACGAAAATCTTATTATTTAAAAGTAAAAAAAAATAATATACTTTTGTTGCTCTTAATATTTTTGTAAAATAAAAATAAAATAATTATCCTATACAATAAATTATCCAATAACTTTTATTATTATTAGGTTAATTTTACGATTTAAAAAGCTTATTTAGTTTAGTTTTGGTATAATTTTCAAGTAAATTTTAGCCATTTATAAAACCAAAAATCGAATATTTAAATACTAATTAGGTACTTGCAAAAACCTTACTCCGGCTACAAAACCAAACAAAATGATCATTTGAACATTTGTACTGTTAACATATATCGATTAAAAAAATCACAGTAATGTTTTTTGTAAATATAATCTAATCCAAGATATTGTAAAAAGAAAATTTAAATTTGAAGTATTATCATAATTTTCTTTAAAATACTTTTTTTACTGGCTTTAGACCTTCAATAAAATGATTGACCCATACCAAAAAATATATCTTAAAGTAGAAAATCTGCCGATTATTATGCTTTCTTTAGAATTAAAATCTGTTCAGTAGTTTTTGAGAGTTTCACAGCCATTTGGCGAGTAATTTTTTTACAACTTTTTTGTTTATAACAATTGACTGACCACGCCGAAAAATATAAAAAAATATGTAAATTATCAGAAAAATACAATTAAAAAGTTTCATGCTGTAGGTTTTAAAAATTTAGTCGGTTTATACCTTTTTTTAAGGGTGAACCGCTCGCTTATGATGGGTATTTGTTAAACTGACAAATAAAAACACAATAATAATGATTATTATTATCAGTAAAAATTCAATATGCATTATGCACATATAGTCCAATTAAATAAGCCTTTATATCGAAATTTTGGTCAACTTGCCTGAATTTTTTATATGAGTTAGTATGTTATAACAATAAGTGACAGTAATTTTTTGTTCAACCCCCGGCCAAGGGTGAAAAAAGATAAAACAAAGGTGTTTTTCAAGATAACTCAAGAGGGGCAAGGGCTAGAAAAAAAGTTTCATATAAAAGTTGTAAAGCATACAATTCTACATAAAAATGGCCTCTTGATTTTTTCTCGTACTATTAAAATTAACAGAGTTAGGGAGGCTAGAAGTTAAGGGAAGATTTCAGAAATTTAAAAAAATCATAACGAGCAGAAAAATGAATGAATTTTGTAATTTTTTTTTCAATCTACTCTAAAAAATTGTATGTTTTACAACTTTTATGCGAAACATTTTTTTCTAGCCCTTACCCGTTTTGAGTTACCTTGAAAAATCCCTTTGTTTTATCTTTTTTCACCCCTGGCCGGGGGTTGAACAAAAAATTACTGTCACTTATTGTTATAATATACCTCAAACTAACTCATATCAAAAATTCAGGCAAGTTGACCAACATTTCGATTTAAAGGCGTATTTAATTGGACTAATATTTATTAAGCAAAATTTAGGAGATTTATCAAATCTGACTCACCGCTAGCGGCCCCCTCCTGGCCCCCCTGGGAACAGTTGAGCCTCCTGCTCTCTATTATGGCGCTAAGGAGGAGATTCTCCTCCTCGCTCATCCTCGAATCCCGCCAAGAATAGTCGTGAAAACTGCAGCGACGCTAAAAATGCCTTTCGGTCACCAAGAAGCACATCCACGGAATAATCCCAAACAGCTACGATGCGACAGAAGCGAAAAAATCAGCACTTCAAGCGGTCACGGCCGTCATGTCGTCCCTCGTTGCCCGCAGGACGATGGGGATCCTGGCAGGACGCGCTACAGCATATCTGAAACAGAACCACGTGTTGCATGAGCATCGCCTGAGGGCCCGGCGGATATAATTAGGTAGCTTGTAGAGGAGGGTAATGATTTAATCTACATGCCGGGAGGGGATGGTTTAGGTTCGTATGGCGAAAGTCGCGTTATATGTTAAAATAATTTTATTTCGGCTTTGGTGATTGGGTTACGGACAGACAAAGTTTTATTACTCGCCGAGTAACCGCCAGTATTATACAGGGTGTCCGGTAAGTACCTCCTAATCTCTCGGGAGTGTATAGGGGAGGTCAAAATAAAACTAGTTCTTCCTATAATTTTTTTTCCTAATGTGCCCCCTAACGGAGTTATGGGGGGTCAAAGGGGTACCTAGAAATTAACGTTTAGGGTTATAACTTTGAAACCACCCTGTATATTTTAATAAAATTTTCGTACGTTGTATTACACATGGAGCTCTACGATTTGATGCTAAAATCAACTTTTTGCTATTATCAGGTGTCCAGAAACGGACTGGCCCTATCACAATTTTTCTCAAAATTTTGACAGAAGTAATTTTATCAAACTGAAAATATTATTATTAGATACTCTGAAGGTTTTTCTTTAAAAATGGTACTCTTTATTTATTTCGAAAAAATGAACGGTTTGCGAGATAAATCGGTTTTGAAAAAAATTGGTAACAAATACAACAACAATTAAAATTTATTTTTTTACAATAAAATCATTCCCGCTAGTGCCAGCCTACAGATTCACCATAAACATTTACTGGTGGTGAATTAAGGGAATGAATAATGCCGTTTCTTGTAAAATCAACATCTATGACCAAAATACATCTACAAATTATTATTGCTCTTGTCTCCATGGAGTTCTTTTCTATTGTTTTCGTTGTTAGACCCTGTTGATTTTAAAGTACTTGTCAAAGGCGCGTGACAGAATAAAAATTCAATTTTATTGTGGTATTCGTTTTAAGCCGTTAGAAATAACATTTAAAAATGGAAGAATATTCCTGTGCAGAATATGCTGATATGCACCTAATTTATGGGGAAGCATTATGCAACTCCGTGGAGGCAAGAAGACTTTATGAGGAAAGGTTTCCGGGTCGACATTTGCCGAGTCCAAAAACTTTTGAAAGAGTTGATCGTAGTTTAAGAGAAACAGGTAAAAAAAAATAGTGAAAAACGTTAGTGAAACTAATTTCTTCCGAATCCTTTATTTAGGAAGCTTTTTGCCACGCCGTGGTGGAGCAGGAGCCCCGAGGAGAGTACGAGACCCTCATGTAGAGGAACAAATATTGGAAGACGTTGCTAATAATCCTTCAAATAGCATAAGGAAGCTTGCGGCGCAAAACAATGTTACAAAATGGGCTGTACATGAAACTCTGAAAGAACAATTGCTTTACCCGTACCACATCCAAAAAGTACATGCTATGTCTCCAGATGATTATCCAAAAAGACTTCAATACGCCAATTGGTTTTTACAGCATCATATTCGGAATCATAATTTTGGTACATCTATTTTGTTCACCGATGAAGCAGGTTTTACAAGAGACGGCATAATTAATTCGCATAATCTACATGTCTGGGATGAAGAAAACCCTCACGCTTTAGTTCAAACTCGCTACCAACAAAGGTTTATGGTGAATGTGTGGGCTGGCATTATCGGGAATCATTTGATTGGTCCATTTATTCTGGAGCAAAGACTTAATGGTGCTCTTTATTTGCAATTTTTAGAGGAAAATCTAAATATTTTGTTAGAAGAAGTGCCCCTTCAAATAAGAACTGAAATGTGGTACATGCATGACGGTGCACCACCCCACTTTGATCGTTTAGTACGTCAACATCTGACGAATGTTTTTGGTGATCGATGGATAGGTCGAGGCGGACCTGTATTATGGCCACCTAGGTCGCCCGACCTAAACCCATTAGACTTTTTTCTGTGGGGTCATTTAAAAAATAACGTTTATTCAACACCCGTAAATAGTAGAGAGGAACTTCTGCTGAGGCTAACACAGAACTGTGACCATCTCCGCAATAATCACGGAATATTATTTCAAGTGCACCGGGAAAACATTCGTAGGATTAGAAAGTGCATTGAAGTACGGGGTGCTCATTTTGAACATCTACCGAAGTAACATTTAGGTACCTTTGTTCATTGTTGAATGTTCTTTGTTGCATGTCTTGTAAGTAAGTTATTTTTCAAATGTTATTTTTAATTGGTCACTACTTGCTCATAAAGTATAGCCAACCCGTTCAAAGATTTCTGGACTTGATAAAGTTAAAGAAATTAAATGCATGAAATAATATGTAAAAAAAATAAATTTTAATTGTTGTATTTGTTACCAATTTTTTTCAAAACCGATTTATCTCGCAAACCGTTCATTTTTTCGAAATAAATAAAGAGTACCATTTTTAAAGAAAAACCTTCAGAGTATCTAATAATAATATTTTCAGTTTGATAAAATTACTTCTGTCAAAATTTTGAGAAAAATTGTGATAGGGCCAGTCCGTTTCTGGACACCTGATAATAGCAAAAAGTTGATTTTAGCATCAAATCGTAGAGCTCCATGTGTAATACAACGTACGAAAATTTTATTAAAATATACAGGGTGGTTTCAAAGTTATAACCCTAAACGTTAATTTCTAGGTACCCCTTTGACCCCCCATAACTCCGTTAGGGGGCACATTAGGAAAAAAAATTAAAGGAAGGACTAATTTTATTTTGACCTCCCCTATACACTCCCGAGAGATTAGGAGGTACTTACCGGCACCCTGTATACAGGCTGTCCCATAAGCACATGATCAAAAAGGTACTGCGATATTCTTTGGCTCAAAAGAAGACGATTTGACCTAACTTCCTTGAAAAAATGTCTGGTTCCTCTGCTATTGACTGTCAAAGTTCTTGAAAAAAATATGTTTTCTGTAATATCTGGAGAATGTTACGATGGATTTTAATGAAACTTACAGTGGACTTGTTCGTAAGTAAAACTCATGTTTTAATGAAGCCACCGCGTCCATCTGTCTTGGGCCAGTGGTAAATTCTTGAGTGTCTTGATACAAGAATTACCAGAACCTTTTATTTGGTCGCTGGAATTAATTCATTTTATTTTTATTGATGCATCAGTCCTTTTTCGAGATTTTCGTGCTCTTGGTAAAATCTTGTAGCATTCATAGTTTTTACGCAAAAATTTTTTTTTCTATTTTAGACAATCATTATCAGTACTACTCGAGTACAACAAATACTCACTACAATCACTACTATCGTAGTAAGTATCTTGGTGAAATCTTGTAGCATTCATAGTTTTTACGCAAAAAATTGTTTTCTGTTTCGTTGCGACTTAACAATTTTAGATGTATCGCAGTAAATCTGCCCTTTTACAGGAAGCAGCTTTCTCTAATAATAATTGCCAATTCTTTTACCTAGGATATCAATATTGAAAGTAAAATGGTCGCAACTTTAAAGTCTGTCGCAATGCGACGGATTGAATATCATTTTACTTCATTAGATTTATTTTTTGTTAACACTCAAGAGATGTAAAGACGTACTTAGGAAAGACATAATTCTCTTTATTGAAAATGGATGGTAGTTACATAGATACGATAGATGATGGTGGAATTACAAGACATGTTCGATATGCCCCCCATTTTGCTGGATACATAGCTGGATCCTTCGATTGAAATTGAATTGAGCCATCCTCAACATTTACGCAATAATTATTCCTGGATTCCACAGAAATAGCGTAAACTTTATACTTCAAGACAAAAAGTCTAACAACGTTAAGTTGGGGGACTTGGGGGGCCATTCGACAGGAACATCTCTCCCTCATCTTCAGATCCACTTGTGTGGAAAAGTATTATTTAAATGTGCAGTTACATTTTCACTAAACTGCGGAGGAGCACCATCGTGCATGAACCACATCTGAGCACGAAGATCGAGAGGGACATCTTCCATTAGAACCGGAAAAGTATTCGTCAGAAAATTGAAATAATTTTCGTTATTCATGCGGCGCGACATGACATAAGAACCCAGAAGGATGTCACCGATGATCCCGGACCAAACATTTATTGGAAATTCCACCTGAAAGTGGTTAATACGCCTCGCATGAGGAATTTCTTCTGCGTAATGGTGAATAAAAATCGGTTGGTAAAATTAAGTCTGTTTTAAATGTGACGCTCAGGCAAATACTCCAAATTGTGAATTTTGAAGTCATGAACCCATTGGTCTTTAAAATTCATTGAACGGCTGATGTATCCAAATTCAATTACCGGCTAGCCTGCAGTATAGAATTTCGTTGATTTTGTTCGAAATACTGTAACAGTCTAGCTGTATTAACATTGTTGCTTACCCTTCCGTCAAATATTTGATTTTTCCGGTCAGAAAATGCATCTTCATTTCGTCGCAAGGTCGCCTCCAATCTTGCGAAGATTCTATAATCAGGAATAAGGCGCTCTGTATCCCTTTCTCGATATAACTCTACAGCTCTTCTTGAATTTTTTTGTGACTCGCCGTGAATTAGCAACATATCAACATTTTCTGAATGAGAATACATTTTGTAAGCACAAAAGTTATACGTTTGACGTTCGTATTGAGTAATGACAAGTAATTTGTGACATTTATACACTTTAAACAACGAACATTCAATTATTTTCCAACGACTACTTGATCTTTCCACCGCTAATGTGATTTTTAGGTGGTATTTCTTTTAAAACTCTTTAGGACGATATTGTTTATAACTTTTGAACGGGAAGTAATACAGAAAAATTTCTCTAATAAAAGTTTATTAGAAAAAAGAGAGCTTTTTAATAGGAAAACAATTTGGGCATATTTCTGGAAAAAATATAATTGATGACGTGCTTAGTCGTTTCTGTCAAATCCCAAAGATAATACTTTTGATTGAAAATGGAGCTTACCTCATCCCATTTAACACCACGTATCCCAAATTTTATTTAAATTTTTTATATCCTCACAGTAGGCCCATACTATCGAGTTTGACACCCTGTACAATACTTTATCTATAACC